AAAAGAAGAAGAAGAAGAAGATGAGACAAAAAGGGAGTCGTTACTCCTTTCCCTATTTATTATAAACAAAGGTGTGTAAATGGAGTAGAAAGAGAGTGGAAAGGAGTTCAGCGTCCACTTGAGATGGTAACATTGAGCTTTTTGGTGAATTCAGTAAAATCAGCGTACAACAATTCTGGTAATTCTAATGCAACGAAATGGCCACCTTTTGAATGATATGTACTATGTATTAGATTTGGAAATTTTACATTGATTTGCCAGTCGAGTTGGTACGACAAATCATTTTTGGACCGAGCACATCCGGTGGGCACCTGAATTGGGACTCGATCCATTTGCAATGAACTATGTGCGGCTCCTAATCCTTTGGCATACAAACGCGCTGACGTGGTTATGCTGTTCGTTAAATAATAAATCATAATATTATCGAAGAGAGCATCTTTGGTGAAATATCTTTCAAAGCCTCCATCATTTGTATCGCGTGAATTTTTATCTGTCCACAATGGAAATTTCTCTAAAATATATGCGGCTAGCCCGATGAGGTTGTTTGATAATGCGATACCTTCAAAGAAAACCGAGTAAAATTACAAATTGTCTGGAAATTGGTATTTTCGGTTGAATTAAATTTACCAATCGTATCGGGTTTGGTTGCTTGTAAGTGGAAAAATCCAGTTTCTTGAATTAAAAAGCTGAGCTTTTCACCCGTGGGAAACACAAAATCCTTATATTCATCTGCTATGAATAGACTTGGATAGAAACTAGCAATGAATCCTTTGATGGGAGTGGCAATTGTCAAAACTGTGCATAAATTACAATGAAATCCGATTACATTATCCGGAAATAGCGCTGACAATGATTTTCCAATGGCTGCTCCCCAATCCCCGCCTTGAACTAAAAATCGTTCATAGCCCAAACGGATCATCAAATTTCGTAGGACAATAGCTATTTCAATGGGATTCAAACCAGGTACACTAGCGCCATCACTCCAGTCGTAGCCCGGCAAACTTGGGCCTACAACACTGTAGGATGTATCGTCTTTCACCTGAGTCAATTTTAGGATGAATTCGTAAAATTCACGTACTGAACCGGGCCAGCCGTGTAGCAACAACAATGGAATCACATTTTTCGCCTTTGCTGTGTAATCCTACGTGTGAATGAAATGGATTTTCAATCTGTGTTGAGGAGATGAATGATAAAAACATAAAATCTAATTTCATGTTCTTTAACCAAATTGACTGACCCTTGAATTTGAGTTGTAAATTGTGGAAGATTATTCAAGAACTTTTGACGTTGGTCCCAACGAGATAGATAATCTTCACGCCAATATTTGATCAAGTCTTCTAGTTTATACGCGTTGAAACCATATCGAAAAGCTACACCTTCCAATGGTTCGACTAAATTCAATGGTTCACTCAAACGGTCACGTAATTTGTTTATCACATCTGCTGAGTATTTAATTTGGAATGGTTTCACTGCGGTGCAATCGATCCGATTGGCTCGTAAGCTTGGTCCCCAATATTTTGTGATGTCAAGCTTCGGTGGTGGCAACGGTCCAATCATTTTATTGAACAGAATGTATGGAAGAACAGCAATAAATGCCGTTGCTATGAAAACTTTCAAACTCATCTTCACTTTTTTCGGCGTACTCAAATTTAAACAGACGTTAACCAAATTATGACCGATATATTTCAACGAACAGACGAACTATTTTATATACCAGAAGTAGAATGTCGGTGATGATAATCTTACTTTCGATTACGGTTACTCTTCTTATCTTTTGAACGTTGATCCGTTATGATCTGATATGTCTCACCGAATTGTTTTTTTTTTCTTTAATAGCACGACATATGAGTAGTTTGGAGCGAAAATGTAATACAGAAAAGTTGCGCGGAAAAATGTCAAATGAAAAGAGATAGCTATATAGTTCACTATAGTTTACTATACAGTATACTATATAGCTATCCCTTTTCCGCTCATTCATCATCGACATTTTTCCGCTTAACTTTTCTATATTACATTTTCGCTCCAAACTACTCATATCACAATACAGGTAAATATGATTTCAGGTGAGTTTTACGGTTTTTTTGTGCGCGTCATGATGATCACGACAGTGTAGCACTTAAAACCTACGGCGCTATTGTCGAATTTTAAAAAGACGGACTTCCTGACACTCAAATTGATTGAGTGGAATTTTCAAATTGGTATAATGGAAGTTGGATGTTTTTTTTTTTGATTGAGTTGACTGCGGTATGATATTGAGTGCCATCCCTTTGTTTATTTTTATCTTTCTGAAAACACAAGTGTGTTTGAGTGAATGTCGACATATTTTGTTGAATTTAGCGAAAACATTCCATATCGTTGGAACTCTTTTTGAAGGCTGAAATTTGAATGGAATAATAAAAAAAACGATTGGAGACTTCAATTCGAAGCTATATAAAACACAGATTCAAATCTTTTAAATACGAAATGTTCTACTAGTTAGGTGTTTTTATTCTCATCAAACAGTGATCATCAGTTTACATGGTTCATAAATGAATAGGCCTATTTATGTTCATTTTCGGTATATTTAATTGCAATGCCGGATCTACCTTTTGTGATTTTAGACGGTTCTTGTTGACCCAAGCTTGGATCTAAGCCAGTCCATGATCGATCGTTGAATGCGCTACTCGAATTCGTATTCATGAGTTGATTGTGTTTCTTTTCGAGTTGTGTGCCAGTGTTGTGATTGGTGTCATCGTTGTCGGTGATCTTCATGGGTCTAATGCGTCCAGATACCAAACTCACATCATAGTCATCATCGCCATTCGTTTCCGTTTGATTTTCTGCAACCCTAAAGTGTTTACCGTCTGGTAAAATGTCGGTAAAATCAACGGCATAGAAGTTGGGATATTGTTCGCGCCAAGCCGGATTCAATGCAAGCTCGGCCTCAAACACCGACAACAGCGGCTTGTAAAAGTCACGTGATGTGTAGATTATGTTCTCTGGACAGCCAATAAACACAAAGCAGTCTATTTCCATAAAATTGGCCAGCTTAGCTGGATTGATTTTGCCCACAGATAGCAAATATGTGCGAATTCCTCGATCACGGGCCAATGTTTGAATTCGGTTTACTGCATTCAAGTAACCGTCCGCGGTTAGGGTGCCAACAACAATTCCAATCGCCTGTGCATCCTTGCATTTTTCCACGAAGAAATTCCGGCGACGCATCCAATTTGTTGCTAATGGACTGTTAACTACTTTCATTTGATAACTACGTCTATCACAGGACAGCCACTGCTTTGCTGTTAAATGAAAGAAGAAAAATTTACTTGTGACCATTTATAAGCGATTTTTGAGCAGAACATTCCTTACCATTTACAGTCAAACTCAGATTGAAAAGGGATTGGTTGTCATCTCCGATCCAAATGCATGTCATTTCCGATAAATTATTCTTTGGCATTTTCCAACATAAATTATCCGGCTTTCCATCGAGTGCCAACTGTGCGTACGACACATTTGTGAATGAACTCAGCGCCGATTTAATGTCATCTGCAGAAGCAGAAATGGTTGAATAATCGGAAGGAAGTTGTTAGAAACTCAACATACCTAAATGATAGAAGAACCCTGTCGCATAGAAGACGACAATCTCTTCTTTTGAATTCGGGATGTGGCTTTTCATCTCTTGACGTATTTTGTCCACATCCAATTTGAAATTTGAAAATACATAGTGTACCGGCAATCGTGAGACTTTGCTGAGACATGCATGACCGAAATGTATAATCGCATTGGCATTGACATGCAAAGCGGCTATCTGGAATTATCATTGTGTTAACATCTTCTAAATCAATTGTAGATGCTCGTTTTCAACTCAGACGCTCGATAACGAGAGTTTTAGAGTTTTTATTCATTCAACGGCACTCACCTCATCTACACAACAGCTTCCATATGATGTATCTCCCAGGATGCACAATTCAGCTGTTGTGTTCTTCTTTAACTCTTGCAGTATCGCTATGCTGAACGGAATCAAGTCATCGGGAAATTGAAGACATACCTTTTGTTAGCGAGAACAGAAACCAAATATTCAAATAAACCATTTTGCCAAGAATGTCCAAAGATGTTATTCAATATTGTGATCTAAAATACAAACTTTATCAAATTGATGCGTATTAATCCACGAAACACATTCACTCAAACGTTGATCAGTCCAAATTTCATCCAATCTTTCCACGTCCAGTACGTGCTCTGTGTCTCGACTTAAGCATTCAGTATCGTTTGTACTGAATGCAGAAGTCATTTTTATTTTAGTATTGATTACGTGTTTGTGTTGATAAATGTTTGCAATAATTAATGATACCACTTATTTCTATGCTGTTTGTCTAACCAGACGAATGTGTCGCATGGATTACATTCAAAGTGTAAAGTAATACTTTGAATGCGAAGTAAATTTAATGACATTGACATCTCTAGCACAATCGTAGTGTATGTATAGTGATGGGTGCGTTCATGCCTATAGCTGGATCGCGCAATTTTAAAAAGCCGATTTCAAGGAATGAGAAATACAAATTTAAATTTCGAATAACGAAAGTGATTTAATTCGAATGGAACCTGAAAAAATTTGAGAAAAAATCATAAATTTAAACATCTTTCTATGTTTTAAAAAAGTTCATTGTTTTTTTTGACATTGATTGAGCTTCACTTACCAAGTTGAGGTATCTCCGTTGTTTTAATATGACAATGCTTTGATATGAATTGCGTCTAAAAATTCTTTAATACAATGTTCAAGAGAAATGGAAACACAAAATCTAGCTGTATTTGTTTTTTTTAAATCATTTATTTAGTGATTCAATTAATAGTTTGGTACACCATCACGCCGAAGAAGAAATATCGGAAAGTGTTGTAAGATCAATATGAAAATTGATCTATCAAAAATGTATATTTCTATTCCGTTTCAAATCTCCCAACCATGAGATTCCAAATGGAATTTGACTTTCCGATATTTTGCTTAAAACGATGGTTTTCTTTTTGTTAATAAATTTCCACTCGTTGCCGTTACATTCATTGTAATTTATTTGTTTGATGCGTTGCTCATAGGCTTCATTTGATTTTAACACTCTGACTGTGGAAAATGGTGTTTAGATGAAACAAAAATGCATAGTCTGCTGGGGACATTTCTATTTTGATTATCGGGTATCCATATGCGTGTGTCGATTGATTCATCCCGAACCAAAGGTTCAATGTAAAATTTTTAGGATTAGAAAAATGAAATATAGTGCACAAATGAAATTAAATATCATAAATAGCACGCATTTGATCGTGATTTGTGCCAAGACCGATCTGAGTTGAAGTGGTCGTGGACTTCTCATCTTTTTTTGGTGCTTTTTCATTCAAATAATTGAGATTCTGCTGGTGCATCAATTCGTTTTGTATCAATTTTTCCACTTCGGCTTTGTTAAGCCATATGTAATTTTCCTCGTACTCGGGAAGTATTGGTTGTGGCTGTGCGGGTGGTGATGATCGTTTCCGTAAGTAATTAAAGCAACAGGTGCTGCACCAAAAATATAAAATTGATATGTTACCAGAAGAAATATCACAGAAGAAAGAAACAAAAGTAAAATGAAACTAGATATACCGGAAAAATCGTGTACCACACGCATCTAAACACTCATCACCGCACGAACTGCAAGATAGTCCTTCGGCCGAAGTAGAAACGATTAAACCTGAAACAATGTGTTTTTATAGCAAACAACCGATCAACTGCACTTTATCTTCTTTCACTTACAAGTGGAAATCAGCACGAGAACCAGAATTTGATTGAACAAATTTGACGGCATTTTTTCAATTTTTTTTTATCTTTTTTGTATAAAAATAAATATAACTAAAATTTTGCGAAAGAAAAAAAAAACGTTTTTTTTTCTTCAACTTTCCACCGGAGATGTTTAAATTGGCTTCAGTATGCGATTGACACTGAAATGAGAATGAAGTCCAATTCAGCAACGTACCTTCAATTTATATATCGCCACTTTTTTTCCATTTCAACATAATTCAGACGCACGACTTACGTGGATAATGGTACAGAGACCGCAGCATTCTTTGATGTGAAAAACATTGAAACTATGTACAATGTATGATGCACCATCCACCACAGACTGAATCAAAGGGACTTTTAATTAAGATAATGGTCAGACATTTCATGAGAAAACCGTTATTGATACATTTTTCGAGAAATGTTTGGTTTTTCTTTTGTTTCTATTTCATTGAGATTGGTTCATTTGGGATAGTGGACAGCTGCAATCAAAAGTGTATAATTTCATTAATTGATAGATCCACATTGTACTTACACCTTTTCTTTCATTCAACGCATTCAATTCTGATATGAAAATGTGCCAATAATATTATTTCCATTCACCTACGAAAATGATAAACGCCCCAAAAAGGGAGAAAAAAAAACTTCTGCATTTACCTATGCAGTGGGCGTTTACCTACATTCCTTTTACGTGAACTGTATTTTAAAAGGATTTTTTTTTCGTCGCATCTCATTATTGTCCCATCATTTTGATTGAAGTAAAATTGATAAATCATTTGCAAGTGATACATGAAACAGTATGTTGACGATGTGCAAAGTTATCGTACATCCTCCGCACTTTATCAATCAGTATGTATCGGCAAAAGCATCTACAATTTTTTTTTTATCAAGAACAAGTCACATTTTTTTTTGTCACGCAACGGAAGACATAATAAAAATGCAAATAAGTTCTTCTCTTTCATGTTTATGGGCATAAATAGATGGGCTGAACTGCACGCTGAATTTTACTACCAATATCGAATGTTAATGATAAAATATAAACTCACGTTTAAAATTTGTCTCATCCTAATGTTCTACTTGAGCAACACGTAGACGGTTTTGCTTTTAGATATGACGCACACAAGGCATCCAAGTACAACCACACAAGACATCCTCGTTTAACAGCCATAACATTATGGCTTCAATAAAAGGAAATGATTGAAATGAATCTGCATAAGTGTCGGTTGATGTGTGAGGTCAAATGATTTTATCGATGATGACTATCATGCTCACATGACCATATTCAAATAATAACACATCGGTGTTTGGAAAAACTTATGTTTATGATTTAAAAATGATTGCAAACCAAAACATATCTCCTCGAGCTGTAGTTCCATCCATAGGATTTAGTATAAAATTCATTTCAACAGACTATGCGATGTATTTTCAATACTGTAGTAACCACAGTGTGGTTGCTCTTGTTTCATTTCTTTCATGAAGGAAAAAATGGGTAGACAAATCAGGAATTTCAATAAATTGCCGGCTCTTCATGTAAAAAAAATCTCCCAAATAAAAATGCAAATCCATTGAAATGATCATGCTGATTTAGTTTATTTGAAAATTTCAAATTGAAATTATAAACCACTTGACATTTAACAGAGTTAAATACATATGCTTATCGGCAGGAAAAGACGATTAAATATCGTCGATTTGAATAACTAAAATGAATTTTTCTATATCAATCTAAAAGGTGAATAGTTTTAAAATTTTCTCTCTTCTTTGCTATTGAGTTTGTGTTTGTTGTGTTGTTGTTGCTATTGTTTTTTTTTGGGATGGTGCCAAAATATGAAATTGCACATTAAATAATAACTTAGAAATTAGTAATACAATTTTGAATGATTTTGAACCCAGAATTGTAGGTAAATCTCGTGCCATGCGTTACTTGTTATTAGAGATGACGCGGAATTGATCGTAGTATTCAGTTTTCGAACATTATACTGCTTGCTATCCATGTGAATAATTAATGAAACAGACCCATCGTATGCTATAGTAAATATGTGAAATTCATGGAGATCGAAGCCCCGCAAAATGGTTTCGTTCGTTAAACTAGAAATAAAATGCACAAACGTAAATACGATTAGATAGCCATATGACACATAATACAGCTTATCGCTTTTAGTTATCCAATATTGTACCTAAAAAAATGGTTTATTAATGCGTTCTATTAGTCAACGGAACATCAAGAGAAGTCAAGCAGCTAGTTCGGTTAAAATTGGTACATACAAAGTCTGTTTATGAATCATCCATATGGTAGAGACAGCATAGAACTTCGTACATTATATTTTCCTTGGGGAATTTCACATTGGTTTGTTATCATTGTCGACTCCCTGTTTTCCGTTCACATGCAGCTCCGCATTACTTTCGTCGGGTTGATGTGTTTTATTTTGTTGATTTGCACTGGGTTCGCTTTCAACTTTAGCTTCTTCAGCTTCACAAATACTGTCAGTTTTGACGGAGAGTGCATCAAATGGTGTGGCAAGACCAGCGCTGTTTTCTGTTTGAATTTTGTGTTCTTCGGGCAATTTATCGTCCGAATTGAGGTTTTGTTTGCGATGCAAATATCCAGTTTTCCACTCAACATACTCTTTATAATATTGATAAACTGGAATCACTATAACACTGATATCGTCAACTGTGGCGGCCGCTTTGCTCTCCGCTAAACGCCAATGACCCGCTTCGTTGGCACGTCCACGTGATTTTGCGACCAATTCTTGTGCAACCATGGTATAACGATGCTTCTCCACTGGATATTTGTTGAGCGTATTGAATACCATTTTACTGACTGTATCCGTATCTAAAACGTCCCACAAACCATCGGTCGCCATCACTAAAATACCATATTCACCGTCTTCGTTTGTGTCCTCGGGACAGGTGTGAACTTTTGTTAGATCGCGTGAAATCACTTCCGGATGCGGCGATAAAAATGGTTTTATCGATAGGCCAGTGCATAGGGCACGGAGATCATGATCGCCAAAGCCACGTGTTACACCTATTGTTCCCATCAATCTGGATCGTTTGCCTTCACCCGTCACAATTGGTATCTTTAAATCGTCAAATGTGAGAGTCTTATACGCCCATCCAACCATTGAACCATGTCGATACAGTACACGCTTGCCTAAATCACGTTGCATGGGCCGTTTGGCGTACTCAGTCGCTACATATTCACCGGCCATTAAATATGGATTCAATTGAGCTGTATTCATGAGACGTGGCCGTTCGGTTTCCGGTGTATGATCGTATGAGAATGGTGTTGGGAATACGTGCCATGATTTCTTATCTTGATCAACACCACCATTCTCATTACCATTTTTAATTGCACTTGAATCGCTTTGCTCACTTGTGCCATGATCTATACTTCCATTCAATGAGCCATCGGTCACCAACGATTCAGTGGCCAACAAGCGTTGGCATAGAATAGATCTTGAATCTCCTGCATTCGCAACAAACAATTTACCGTTAATAAATAGTGTAACTAAAGCGGTGCAACCGCCAGCATTTCGATATTTCTTTCGATCTCCGGCCAGCAAAGCATCCATTTCTAGAAATGCACTCTCCAAAGCACCGATGATAAGCTCATCCTTTGAAACGTTCCGATAAAATGCCATCGGATATGGAATATTATCGATTGATTTTGAACGCTGTCCCGACGGTTGCCTATCCGAAGTGACCAAGAGATCGATTACATCCACTAGCTTCTCATGCAAAATATAATGGAATTGATGTGAGGCTGCTAAAGCGGCTCCAAATCCAGCATGACCTGTGCAATAAAAATGAAATGAGAAATTTTTATGAGTATGTCCATCAAACTTACGGTAGGTGTGAATTGAATTAAGTTATTCATTTACCATCGAATATACCAAAATAGGTGTAAGGTAGACCAGGTTCATCTTTGTTTGTAGGATGTGTTAAAATTTGTCGATAAAATGCCGCCTGATCCTCGTTCCATTCCGATTTACCTGAGTTTACGCATTCCGCATAGCCCGTATTCCACGGCATTATCGATATATCCCGAGGCACGATAATTGGTCGTACATTGTGATCAGCGGACGCACGTAACTCATCCTGTGTCATTAACTGTAGGAATGTTGGACGATTGTACGTGAATTTATTCGGCAATGTTCGATTGTCAACATGACGATTCGCGGAAACGGACGATGATGACGACGACGATAACAACGATGATGATGTGGTTGATGACGAGGATTCAGCGGATGTGACTGTGCCGCTACTTTGATTCACATGTGCTGGTATACTTGGTATATCCAAATTGACAGCGTTCAACACTTTTGTTTTTAACCGAGAAAACATTCCTTCCATGATATCGACCGTATTCGAATGCAGTGCTTTCAATTCAAATTTTGCAACACAAACACTTCACTTCGACTTCCTCGAATCGATTGGCAAATCAAGTATATTTTGTTTGTTTTTGAGGGATAGAATTATTCAAACTTTTTAACAGAGTTTTTTTTTACATTTTCTTTTCTCATTTACAATCGTAACCGATTCTCTTTATTATGTCACTGTCAACACAGCATTATAAATAAATACATTGCAAACTAGCGAGCAAAGCACGTAAGAAAAAAGAAACGCACACAGAATATTATACCACTATCCTCTAGTTTATTTAGTCAGAACCAATCGACGCGATTTTGTTTTTTGATTGACATTTACAATGCCAAATGCAAATAAACAAACAAAAAACAACTAACTCGTCACCGATGTTGTGTTACGACGATGAAAAAAAAAATCCTTTCCTGCACAGATGTTTCTCTTAAAATTGCATTTTTCTCCATTCGATGATTGTGAGCAATGGAAAAAAATGTTTAGAGAGAGAATGTCAATTTTGTGTTGTTTTGATAGTAAATGACTAACAACACAAGCATTGAAGCTTGCGCCGCAGTTCCATTGATTGTATTGCATGAAACGAACCCATTGACATTGTGAAATGTTCAACTATTTTCTAACATAAAAGTGATTTAAAGGTACTGCCAAGCTGTACAATTCAATGGTATTTGTTCACTTTCATTCATAATTAGCACTGGATCAATTTGGATTGGAGGTGTTGGAAATCTTGGCAAAAAAAAAATTATCATCAAAAGCCGTCACTGCAATTATTCAACTTGTGTTCTAAGCTGAACCAATGAACGTTCTTTTCTACATTGACATATGTTCCGATTGTTTGACAGTTGACCGAGTGGTGTCTTATAAGAAGCACATGAAATCAAGATTATTTAGCTATTTCACAAATTTCATAAATTTTGCAATCAAACAAATACGATGGCTTTGCGTTTATTAAGAGCGCCATGGAACATACGGGCGATTACACAGGTGGGAATATGTCTCAGTATGGTATTTTTTCCATGAAATATTGTCTTTCATTGAGTATAACTTAGCGAAATACATTGTGTTCATCATATTGTTCAATGTTCATACCATGAAAAGACCGATTAGCTTAGTTATTTGTAGCGGCCGAAATGTTTTCATTTAAAAAAAAAAATCTAATTTTGAAACTGTTTTTTTCTTATCTCCAGCGATTACAATCCTCACAAGCAGCGAATCAAGCCATTTTACTGAATGTGCCACCGACAGAGATCTCCGCCATTAAAAATGGTTTGAGAGTGGCGACAGAAAACAGTGGCGGTTCAACGGCAACCATTGGGCTTTGGATTGATGCCGGATCTCGATATGAAGAGCCACGCAACAATGGTGTTGCCCATTTTTTGGAGCACATGGCATTCAAAGGCACCGCACGACGTTCACAAACCGATCTCGAATTGGAAATTGAAAATCTCGGCGCGCATTTGAATGCGTACACGTCTCGCGAACAAACGGTCTACTATGCAAAGTGTTTGTCAAAGGATATTCCACGTTTGGTCGACATCCTCTCAGACATTATTCAAAATTCCAAACTAAGCGAATCGGATATTGAGCGTGAGCGTGGCGTTATTTTGCGCGAAATGCAAGAGGTGGAAAGTAATTTACAAGAAGTTGTATTTGATCATTTGCATGCGACCGCATATCAAGAGACGCCATTGGGACAAACGATCCTTGGACCAACGGAAAATATTAAATCGATTGGCAAAAGTGATTTGCGCACCTACATTGATACACACTACAAATCATCACGTATTGTGCTGGCTGGAGCCGGTGGAATCACTCACGATGATTTGGTTGGAATGGCTGACAAATATCTTGGGCGATTGTGTAACGGAGATATGCCGAATTTATCACCATGCCATTTTACCGGTTCCGAGATTCGTGTGCGAGACGATTCTTTGCCGTTGGCACATTTTGCCATTGCCGTTGAAGGTTCGGGTTGGACAAATCAGGATCATGTTCCTCTAATGGTAGCAAACACTCTGATCGGATCATGGGATCGATCACAAGGTGGAGGTGTGAACAATTCATCAAACTTGGCCAGTTTATGCGCTGAACATGGTAATGTGTACTATTTTCAACGGTTGTTATTAAATCAGCTTAAATTTACTAAATTTTCTGATCGACTTTAGGCCTTTGCCACAGTTACCAATCGTTCAACACTTGCTACAAAGACACAGGACTGTGGGGGATCTATGTGGTTTGTGAACCATCAACTTGTGGAGATATCGTATTCAATGCATTGAACGAGCTGATGCGACTATGTAGTAACGTTTCAGAAGCCGAAGTGGATCGTGCTAAGAATTTACTCAAAACAAATATGTTGCTTCAACTTGATGGTGAGTCGAATGAAAAATAGAAGACGAAAATACTCAAATTCATCCCTATTCTAAATGTGTATTTATTTTATTTTTCATTCGCTCGGCACTCAGGCACCACTCCGATTTGTGAGGACATCGGACGACAGATTCTTTGCTATGGCCGACGCATTCCATTGCACGAACTTGAAGCCAGAATTAACAATGTAACAGCGAAAAATGTTCGAGATGTGTGCACCAAATATTTTGTAAATCGTAGTCCGGCTGTTGCTGCTGTTGGTCCGATCGAAGGTCTTCCACAATACGAGGAGATTCGCCGCAAAATGTGTGCTTAAGTTTATTTGTTGTGATGTTTGTAAATATAACCATTGAAATATTAAATCTAAAGTTTTAAATATTACCAAAAATGGTCATCGAATTTGTCGTTTAAAACTCATGAACTTGTTGTTCATAGTACTCGTTAGCTCAATTGGAAATGGTGTGAATAATTATTCACGCTTCGAAATTAACAGCGATTTGATTAGAAAAATCGAACGTCAAGTTCGGTTTTTTGTCGATTTATATAAGGGCAAATCTTCTACATGTTGGAAACTGATTGGATGCTAGATTAAAAAAAATAGTAGAATTGCGTACATTCAAATGGAATATTTCACCCAAAAATGGCATGTTTACTTTTTGTATTTAAATAAAAGGTGTAAATACTTTTGGAAGCACTTTATTTCCAATAAAATATTCGATATTGATGATGGACCAAAGAATGTAGAATAGAAATGTCTTTTTTTACAATATAATTCATACGACAAGACTCAATCTGATGCGGCTGCTGGTTTTGATGCGTCTGCTGCGTTATAATTCCAGCTTTTAGGACAAATATGAAGTTCTTCGCAACCCTCTATCGCGCTAACTCCCTTCTGTAACTTCAATATGATTAACTCCTTTTTTGATTCAAATGCTTTAATGCATTCATCTTTGATTTTTCCTCCCATAACAGTTGCACATCTCTTATGTACATGATGGATGACATTTTGCTATTAAATAATACGACATCAAATGAATTTAACAATTATTGTGTTTTGTGTGTATGTGTGACGCAAAATGCGAAAATTGAGTTGACAAAATTTTAGTATTTCGATATTATTGAAAAGTATACGAACTTTCGATGTGTCCGATCCGATATCTTTTAGAAAGGCGTCCACTTCCGTTGCACATAATTTGCAAAGATCTTGAGCTTCTAGCTGCATTGGAAGGGCTATAAAATGGATTAGATTTTATATGTTTTTTCTCCTTCAAATAACACAGCATCCATTTTCTAACTTTGCTGAAAAATGATCTTAAAAAAACATACCAAAGAGTAGAGTGCCACAAAGTACGAATATGGCTAACTTCATTGTATATGGAAAATTGTATGTTATCACTAAAAATTCCGAAAATACTAAACGATTGAGACAAGAAAATCGCTTTATATATGTGCTAAATGAAATGGATTTTCTTTAATTGCATGAACCATAAAGCTTGATCGATCAATCAATGCTAGCATTCCGAATTTCTCCAATTATCGATAAATTCGTGACGCTTTAAGGTTTAATATTCGGAAACACAAAAGGTTGAATTTAATTTGCAATAAGCAATAACCATATATATAATACATTTTAAATGTAAACATTGTAGTCAATGCCATCTCTGAACCAAGGTCGCTTTCTTCGTATACAAATACATGGGAAAGATTTGACGTAAGACGCCAAGACGCCTCTACGCGTGGAATGCTCGAATCTGTCATCGTACACATATTTAACACGAACATTGTCGTTTATACAATCGCACTCACACAAATGAACGCATCGATAGTGCCCGCTCAATATATGTACGATGACTGTTTTGAGTGTCCCTCGCCTAGAGTGCTGCATGTCGTTTTTTTTCGTTTATTAAGCGATCTTGTCTGAACCAACTCATTGAATCATTGAATATTTCTTGCAACTTGTTTCAATCGTGTGTGGCTTCCCGTGTGGAAAAAAAAATGATTGACTGACTTTAGATTCAGTCGACTGTAGTTGATTGAATTTATGTTTTTGTATGGAGAAAATCACTTTGTCCCAAAATAAGCAATTTATTTTGACTTGTAACTTTAAACGATTTCAGTTAACTTTGATCGACTTACACTACACGTTGTACTGAAATGTCAATCAAAGTAAGTCATTTTTGTCCGAAATTAGTTAACTGACTGGTCAGTTACAATATTTGCACATATTTTACGAAGATATATTCAACTTTACGGCAAGACTAACAGCTTCTCTGTGAAGTATAACTGCACACTAGGCAATAAACACTGATATTTTGCAATGGTTACTTGATGCATTTTTCAAAATACTGTTATTTTCATAATGTGTACAGAGAAGCTGTAAGTGTCGCCGTAAAGTTGATTACAATCTAGTCAAGCTCAAAATATTAATTGAATCAATGTGTTGGTTCAGAGATGTCATTGGCTGTCTTCATGTTGTTCTGGCAATAACACTGATGCAGCAATTTTCCGTTCAGAATAAATTCTTCTTAATACCCTCGATTTTTTTTTCTTCGCTGAGAGTAAATTGGCTTATCAATGGGTGTTTTTTTCGCCTACTAAAATGTTGCAAGAATTTCGATGAAAAAATACCGGAAATGATTGCCCCATTTTTTCTAACTAAATCAAGGTTTTCTTAAAATCTACTTTAATGTTTTTAATGGAATAGAACCTGTGGCTTCTTTTAGATGAATGCAATGATTAAAGAATGATTCCAATAATAAAGGATTTCTCTTCTATGTTCTCAAAGTCACGTATAGCATAAAAATAGACACAATTTTTTTACATATTAATTTATTCGCGAAAAGTTTATCTTCTATCCGTACAAAATTTCAAGTACAAGCAAATATCGCGAGGTGAAACATCGTTAGCCAATTTATCAACCAGTTCAGCCGTATACGTGTTGATAAAGTCAAGGCATTCGGCCTTCAAATCATCTTTGAACAGTTCTGGCACCATGTTCGCCATTTTGCACATTTGGGGAATTGGAGCCTCGCGCACCAGCCTCATGTGTTTGTCATTGACCTTAAATTGTTCGCTGTGTCTCAGTGAACGCTCTTGATTAAATGAGACTTGGTCACCAACCGTTGGACAGTTAGCGTTGCCGTTGATTACGTTTCGTTAGCTACAGATTTAAATTTTCCCCTAATCTATGTATTACTTAACTAGACACAAAGAATAGGTAACGTTAGACTATATCAAATTCAAATAAATGTGTGTACAATGAGTTGTTCGCAAGTTTTCTTATGTGTATTTATTTATTTTTTTCATTTGCTTGGCACTCAGGCACCACTTTGATTTGTGAGCACATCGGACGACAGATTCTTTGAAACAAATCTAAAGTTTTAAATATTACCAAAAATGGTCATTGAATTTGTCGTTTAAAACTCATGAACTCTGAATATTTATTCACGCTTCGAAATTAGCAACGATTTGATTAGAAAAATTGAACGTCGAGTTCGGTTTTTCGCCAATTTATACATATAAGGGCAAATCGTCTGCATGTTAGAAACTGATTGGATGCTAGACAAAAAAATAGTAGAATTGCGTACATTCAAATGGAATATTTCACCCAAAAATGGCATGTTTACTTCTTGTATGTAAATAAAAAGTGTAAATACTTTTGGAAGCAATTTATTTCCAATAAAATATTCAATATTGATGATGGACCAAAGAAAGTAGCATAGAAATGTCTTTTTTTACAATATAATGCATACGACAAGACTCAAACTGATGCTGCTGCTGTCGGACAATAATCAACTAGAACGCAAACCTCTATCGCGCTAATTCCCTTCTTCATCTTCGATATGATTTCCTCCATTTTTCCTTCAAATCTTCCGATGCAATCATCTTTGATTTTTCCTCCCATAACAGTTGCACATCTTTCGTGTACATGATCGATGACATTTTGCTATTAAATAATACGACATCAAATGAATTTAACAATTATTGTGTTTTGTGTGTATGTGTGACGCAAAATGCGAAAATTTAGTTGACAAAATTTTAGTATTTCGATATTATTGAAAAGTATACGTACTTTCGATGCGCTCGGTCCGATATCTCTTAGCATGGCGTCCATTTCCTTTATACAAAATTGGCAATCATCTTCGGCTTCTTGCTGCATTGAAAGGGCTATAAAATGGATTAGATTTTATATGTTTTTTCTCCTTCAAATAACACAGCATCCATTTTCTAACTTTGCTGAAAAATGATCTTAAAAAAACATACCAAAGAGTAGAGTGCCACAAAGTACGAATATGGCTAACTTCATTGTATATGGAAAATTGTATGTTATCACTAAAAATTCCGAAAATACTAAACGATTGAGACAAGAAAATCGCTTTATATATGTGCTAAATGCAATGGATTTTCTTTAATTGCATGAACCATAAAGCTTGATCGATCAAT